CTATTTTTTGAGCTAAAAATAAAAAATATTTGTTAATAAAATTAAAAACTTTTATATGTAAGAAAAAGTACATATTTTACTAATTATAATTAGTAAAAAATTTAAGCATTGCATTATTTTTGATTGCCACTGTATTATAAAAAGTTTTATAATCTAAAAAAATAATATAAAATAATAATATTAGTCTTAGCAAAAATATATTAAAAAATTTTTATTATCTTTTATAATTTTAATAAATTTTTTAGAAATTTATATAAAAAATAATTATTATTTTGTAAAGTTTAAAAATTAATTTATTAAAATATATTATTATAATCTGTCATAATAGAAATAATTATTTCTTCAAAATTTTTATCAAAAATAAAATTATTAATTATTATTTTTAATTATAAGATTAAATTAAAATTAATAAATAAATATTATTCTTTCAAATATATATTTAAAAAGAGATGAATTATAATAATACATATTTGTAAACTAGAGAAAGAATTAAGCAAACTATAATTAAAAATTTTTATAATAAAAATAATAACTATTATTTATAAAAGAATTTAGAATCTTATATCTTTATTTAATATTCAAAATTAATTTTTTAATTTAAAATTAAGAATAATATATTATTACATAATTCTATATTATATTGAATTAGTTTGGTCCTATATTTCTAAATTAGAAAATTGGCTAAGTTAACTTATAATACTATTTTTATTTCTTGATACTTTTATCTATATAAAAGAATATCTAAAATAGAATCTATTATATAATTTCAATAATTTAATTAAAATTAGTATTAGAGTAATTTAGAATTAGAGAATTTGAGAAGTCTTATAAGTAAAATTATCTTCTTCTTGACATTTGTATTAAGATAGCTATTTTTTATATTTTTTTGCATTTTTAACTTTTTGTTGATCCGGATTAGACATAATTTAACAATCTTGATTGACTGGTAGTTACATGATGAACTCTGCTTTAGACGATTCCTATATTTAATAAATTGATTTTAACAATATATAAAAATTATTAAAAATGCTATTACCACTTATTCTATCTTCAAAATTATTTATTTTATTAATTATAATTATATAAGAAATGTAAAGAAATAAATTTTTTGAATATATTAGTATTTTTCTCTCTTATTATGATACTATTTATATTTGATCATTAATAATAATGATTTTAATAATTATCTTTTAATCGTTTCAGCTGATGCAATTTGTCTAATCTTTCACGATTTCATAATCTTGCAATAAATTTGGATTTTACATTAAGTAGGTTGGAATCAAACTCAGTCTCGGATAATGTATCTGACACCTTATAAAAGAACCAAGCAATGTAACGAGAGATTTGAACCAAAACAGCATGTTCATAAATTATTTATGCGCAAAAGGGTATTTGAATCCGCTTTATATCAGGGTTGACAATGGGCCATTAATAGCCTAGAAAATTTTTTGGCCATGGTCAAATTTATGAATTGATAATTGGCCATTTGGCCAAAAATTCTTGAATGCCAACCCTGAACTTTATATTATACTTGATTAATATTCGTAATCTCATGGCTGATTAAGAAATAAATTAATCAAAAATTAAACTGTCTTATCAACTAATAGATTATAGTTCATAAGTGCTTTAACCAGTAATTGAATTGCAGTTCGGTTCAGTTTAGAGCTCGAAACCCTGGTTTTTGAACCATCAACATCTCTAATAATAAAATGGCTAGTTTATTGGAAAGATTATTTTACATAGTATTTAAATAATAAAATCATTCTATCATTGCCTCTTTAGATAGAGTTCATCTTAGCTCGTAAATCTTGTAATTCTTTTGCGTAGATATCATAAACCAATGTTAACACTTCATCCAGGTTCATCATAACCATTGTATGAACAAATCCAGGTATTTTTGCTCTTTGCACTCCCACCCATTCTAATGGTGGTGTAGCATCACCCATAATTCGTAATTGTGGCTCTAATTTAACAGGTTCTAGTGGATTATACTGGAAAGTGGGCTGCTTTTGTTCTAAAGCGCTGCTAGAAGTAGTGGCAGCGGTAGATTCATCACTAATGTTGGATTTTGATGTTGTCAATGTCGTCAAGTCATCATTCGTTTTCCTCAATATAGGGGATGATCCTTGTTTAGTAGGCGAGGTCGAAGTTGCGGAAGAAACAGTAGATCTAGTTGAAGGAGTTCCTGAAACTGGTGATTTTGGATTTTCACCGATGCCAATTGAATGCTTCTTAAGCTGTTCCTTATATAACACGACAAGCTCTTGAAGGTATCTGATCAGCCCAAAATTGAGCGCCACGTCTACTTTTCCTCCAAAATCAGTAGCAAATTTATGATCGATAATGTTACTATTTTCTGCTTGAGAGGTTGTCATGGTCAAATTTGTTCTGGGCAATGTGAATATTTTTTTGGATGATGATGAATTCACATGATCAAACCACTGATGAGACTTGAGCTCTTTCTCATCCTTATGACTTAACTTTTTGCAAGAATTCTTTGATAAAGAAATGCCATCAAGATGCAAAATTAATTCACGAAACATTCGTTTCTCCGAGTCGGCAGAACATTTCATATCGATTTTGAGCACATCAGATTTTGCTTGAACACAGTCAGAATCGTAGAAATGGTTAGGGAAAACTATAAGGTGAGCTAATTCTAATGCTATTGTGATCTTGCCAACTGGATGCACCAGCATTCCTCCAATCTTTAATTCCTGAAAGGTGATTCGTGTTTCATTCTCATTAGATTCAGATATTGGAGAATCACTATCTTCATTTGTAGCCGGGGAGAATACGGGTTTTAAAGGTAAGGTTTGGTTTGATTTGGTAGGCTCAGTAGTATTAGATTCTGAGATTACATTAGCTGCGAGAAGTCTTTTTTCCTCAATCAAAGCTAACAATTTGTCTGACATATGTATGAAAATAGGAATTGTTTTTACAGCAACTATCGCTTGAATACGTCGAAGAATAATATCCGCATGTATTAAAACCTGAGCTTTCTCAGAAGTTACGTTGCTCCATTGATCAGTTATTTTTAGTTCCATAGGGTCAACTTCTAATATCAATATTTTTTGATATTCATACTCGAGCGATGATTTTATTTGCTCAGTTTTAAATAATATTTTAGTCACAGAAGCACCATCGATTGCAGGATAAGTAGGAGCAACACATAGCCAAGTACTGAAGTTTAAACCAGTCATTGTTGCCGTGCCTCGAAGACGTCCTTCTGATTGTATGTCGAGAAGATCAGTGGATATTATTACTTTTCTTAAAACACCCGGAACTCGCTTAGTTCGAACTCTAATGTTTTGTGTATTAAACTGTACTCTACCAATTGCTTGACCTAGATCACTGGATAGATCTAATTGTTTTAAGCGCAAGAGAATATACACTGAATAAGGTTTAGCTTTTGCTGCATTACTCTCAGAATCTTCATAAGTGTGTGATGATTGTTCTTTAATTTCAGATATATCTTGACTTATTGGCTTTGAAGATTCGTATTGTACTGTTTCTTCATATAATTTAGTCGCTTGATCTAACCAAATTGCTTTTAGTAGTAGTAAATCTTGGAGATGACGAATGTTCAAATCAGCAGTAATTTGAGGGAAATCTACAATTATAGAGATTGAATCATCACTAACTGTATCTGTTCGACGACTCATTAATGTGGCATTGAATGACATATCTTTTGTTTCGCCTCTTAGACAGTCTTCTGGTGAAAAAGCGTGACGTATATTACCAGAGGCACCTCGTATTTTCCCAATACACGTAATACTCTGTACATTCACATCACCGCTATCCGATACCACAAGAAAGTTTCCTTCTTCCCAGTTGAGAGAACATAAAACTTTTGATGTTGGCCGACAACTCAATTCAAAAGTTGTGCGCGATAGTCTAAAATAGCAAGTTATGTTCATTCCATATATAGGTGGTGAACTTTCTTGAATCGCGATGGCTTTTTTGTCACTCTTTTTTTGAATACCCAATTTCAGACCATCAATGATGTCTTTAATGAAAGGTACTAGTGAGGGATATAGAGTATTTTCGCTTGGATGTATGACAAGTTCAACATGTAATCGTCGCCTGGAAGCATCTGGTAATGACCCAGGAATTTGGCCAATCACTGTTTGATATGTAGTGTTCAAACTTAGACCAGGGATTACGATCTTATCAATTCCATGCTCCGCTTGTTTCGAAAGTTCATCGGAAGACGCCGAATAACTTGATAAAGAGTCCAGATTTAGACGTGGTGGAAGTTGCGTTGAAATTGAACGAGATCGTGATGACTTCGGTTTTTCTGTTGATTTATTCGTCTTTAACGATTGTTGTCTAGTGAAATATTTTTTAGGATATAATTTCAAGATACCGCTTTTTACAGTAAAGCATGCTTTGATTTCTAATTCAATTAAATTACTCTGCGCATTTTCTTCTGAGTCGGATTTTGTAGTTGTTTTAGCTTTGCCTTTTGGTTGAGATTGAGAACCTAAATTCGCTTCAGCTGTAAATGCCTCTAATCTTTCCCTGCTTGCAGCATAAATTTCCCCTAGGCTGTTAATATGATTGACAATATTCCCAGCGATATCTACCTCAAAACCTTCAACACGCGAATCAATAAAGATTTGTTTTTTGTCTTTGTTACCTAAAGCGCGTACATTACATGAAATTTCCGGGTAATGAATACGATTCATCTTTGGATGAGAGTGCGCAGAAAAATGTTCTTCATTGCCCTGATCGAATTGTGTGACAAATTGAAAACATAATTCCTTAAGAGAAGCACTGGTAGATTTCCATTTTTGCGTTATGAATTTCATTGAAGTTGTAGAAAGCAGAAATGCCGGAATTTGTGTTCCACCTGCTCGGTGAGCTGCAGCAGAAATACCTTCCTCACGCAAATCAAGTGGTAATGCGACAGCAAATCTATTTATTTGAAGTGAAAGAACTTTTTCATCCAATAGCGATTTGCTCTTTGTTTTATATTTTGGAATTTGAACATCCAGAGATCTTAAGATTTCACGTGTATTGTTTGCTAATTGATTGATTTCCGATGCTTTGAGCTCTTTTCGACGTTCTAATTCCCCGCTATAGTACACGTAGAGATCCATCAAACGTCCGAGAGCAATAGGTTGCATAACCGCATGAACCTTTGACAGTGTGAGAAAGAAAGATTCAGTACTATCTTTTTCTTCTGATGATGATGAGATCTCTTCACTGTCTTCATATTTATTCTTGCAATTTTGTAATACAAGATCAATCAAGATATAGGCGATCCGAAATTTTCTTACGTTGTCATCCACTAAATTTGAACCAGTGTTGTGATTAAGTGACAATGACAAATTCTGTGCCGAGAACTTCCACGCTACTTTTGCTGGTTTTTTTATATCAACGCTATGAACATTTGTGATAAATCCGTTCAATATATTTGTCTCGAAAAATCCTATTGCGTTTGGACTTGAGGCAGATATTCTTAACCCATTGAGAGATATTTTAATTGAATATAACAAGTTATTACTGCTTACACTAGAAGGTTGGCCCATTTTCGACGTGCTTGAATTAGCCGAAGACAATGACGCATTTCTTGAAGCATTCCCTCGTTCTTTAAATCTTTTAGAAGAGAAAGCGAACACGTCTAACACGTCATTTAGTTCATTTCCAAGCAGTGATTGAGCCGTGAATAAATTATCAATTATATTAACATTTAATTTTAGTTTGACCAGATCTAACGTAATCAATGCCTCGAGTTTTGAATATTTTGACGAAGGGATCGCTTTCTTAGACATTCCACTTTTCCTTTGTTCATACGGGCGAATCATTCCCGTAGTTCTGATGGCAGGTATCGTGAAAGCAGCTTGTTGTTGATCTTCATTTGATCCATCTACAACAGGTGTCTCAACGGAAGACTTGTTTTTATGTCGATGACGCGTCACGAAGCCAACTTCCTGTTTGGTTAATTGCCCGGAATAATCCATATGAATCATTTCATGTAGTGTCGGTTTTTGATGTATTAGAAAGAATAAATTACTTGCATCATAATGGAATTGTAAAGAAGGAAGTAAATGTGATTGGAAGGAGAATTTCTTCAATAAAAATTGAAATTTCATTTCCATCGCGTTTTTTTTTGAAACAGAGGAATGATGATGACTTTGTTTTTGAGAATGAGTTGTGGTAGCTTTTCGTTGTTCTTCCCATTCATCCATTAAACGTTTAAAAAGGAAATCATAACTTGGCAAATTTTCTTCACGCCATTTTTCAACAAATGTATACAATTTCAATAGACTTTGAGGGGCACGAACAGAAATGGTTTGAAATTTCACAAAGATATTCAGCGACTCTCTTTCGGGATCGTTCTTTTGAATTAATTGTGATGAGTACTGACGCATGAGTGCGACATTAGTCCCGATCCCCGAAAATTCAACCGAAATTAATGTGTTAAAACTGCTTGAACTCGAATAGAGTTGCTCCTTAATACTCATTGTAATATTTTCAATTCCGCCTACTGTAGAAAGAATCAATTTATTCGAACTACGTCCTCCACTTCCGCGCGATCCAGGATGAATTGAGCTTCGATTTAATGATGCATTTTCCAATTCAGCTTTTTCCATGATATATATGGTTCGTGGATTATAAAATAAAGAAGTGACATTGAAATTTGACAATTGAGCATGTGCCAAAAGATTCTGCGGAGATGCTTTAACTACGATCGTTTGAAGAGTGAAAATTCCATGCGCCACAATTTCTATTCTGGATAATAAATTTTTAAGATTAAATTCTGGTATTTGTTGTGGTAATGAATCTTTATGCTGCTTCTTATCTTTGGCTGTTGTCGTTTTTTGATTCTTGATATCTCGTATCGTGGTGATTGTGGAAGTTGATTTATGACCTAATGAAGAAACATTGCCAGGCTCAACACAAACTGGGACGTTACTCTTATTTCTCTGCGAAAGATATTTAAATTTTGAAGTGAATACTCGTTGCACTTTGAGACAATGTTTAGCAAATGCAAGCATTTCAGGATTCACATCTACGTCAATCTTTTTCGAACTAAATCTAAATATGACATTCAAGTAGCCGGCAGGGAACATGTTTTGTCCCACTGTTATATTCTCGTTATTTTTTCTCGAATCGGAATTGTTAGCCTGATAGAGCTCAGAAGGAGGAATACCATCAGCACGATAATGACTTTCAAGATCAACTTCAATTGGCCCAATAACCACAGAATTTTGACATTGTCCCTCCAAATTAGAGACACCAATCAAACCAATCCGTATGCGGACAAATCTTGATGAACTAATGAGGAATTGTTGAATTTCCGTTAACATATCTGATGTACCCTTGCCTTCATTACCGACGCATTGTTCAAATAGTTTTGTGAAAAGACGCGAGTTTGAGAGATTTCCCAGTTCCCAGTGTCGCCATTTCGAGAAGACTTCTTGTACTTTGTTAAACATTCGTGTTGGATCAACAGTTGATAAATCACTGGAGGTAAGTTTGGCTTGTAATTGTTCAAGAGATTCTTTTAACATGAATCGTTTGCAGTATCTGATACGGACAAGAATCTTCCAGCCGTCATCATTTTTGAAATTCGTGGCACCCAGTCGAAGAACAATTGATGATCGCGTCAAATAAGGAGGATCATTCGCAATAGGATGTACATCCGAGAAAAGCGCGATTTCATATATTAATGTCTGTAATTGTCTTTTGCGCCTATTCTGAAAAGAATTTAAAATAATTGAAAGATCGTCGGCAAAAAGTAGCCATGAATATATTGCACCAGTTAATATTTCGATAGATTGGCTTATAAAAATTGTGTTGAAACTTCCCATGTCTAGCGAAAAATGAGTTGGCTGCGTGCTGCTCATTAATTTTACTTTCACATGTTCCAAAAAGATATCAAGCACCACCGGTTCATTTGGCACAGGTCCGGAGCTAAAACTGTAATCTTTGAAATGGTGCAATGCTTTCGGTATACCAAAAATTCCAATAGGATTCGATCCAGCAACAAAATGCACATTGAGCTTCAAAGTCTCAAAATCTAGACACACTCTTGACTCTACAAGTTTAAAGGTGTGCTCAAAATTCTCATTCTTGTCCTTTACATGGAAATTTGTGTCTTCAAATTTCACTAAACCTGTAATTAAGCTTTGTTCGAGTACTATGTCAGCTGCACAAAGTACTGTGTCTGTCAGATCGTATCTTGTTCTAATGCTTGAATATTCGTCGCTCACATTTGTGAGATCATCAGGCAATAGTACGTCTTGAATGAAGTGGAGAGTAACACGTGGTATCGATACTGCAAATTTGGTTGTCGTGTATTTGAAGGGAAATAATTTTGTAAGGTCTCCAACATAATCGATCTGTATATAATCAAGCATAGACTCGAGGTTCCAATGCTAAGATAAAGAGATATTAACATGAAATATCAATTTAGCTATAACAATTTATACATGTAAGAAGTCTTACCTCACTTTTCACGGCTTCCAAAATTTCTTGAATGATTTTCAAAAAGATGGGCGTCAACAAGATTTTAACAGATTTTGTGGATTCAAAAACAATAGTCATTTTTGTTTCGTTATTCTCGCTTGTTAATGTTGGCGTCATAATAGCATCAGTAAGAGTTTCTTCTAGTGATTCATCAGTTGCAGCACCTTTATTTTTTGAAAACGGCGAAGATTTGAAACTTTGACTATTTTCTTCGTCGGTTGATAGTAGTTCCGTTTCCTAAAAAATTTGGATAAAAAATGACTCTAACTCTAATTGTGACAAAACAATAGAATCGCAATTGATTACGAAGAAATCATTATTGATTACCTGTGCAGGCACAAATGTCGCACGAGAAGGACGAAGATAAGAGCTCGAAAAATTGGTAAAATATTTTTGTGAATTAATTCGGTATCGTCTTAGGCAACTTCCATATGGAATTGACCTTGGTATTGATGGAGAAATACGATAGGCCCCCGAAGTTTCTGTTAAAGACGAATCCGAACGCTTTTGACTCCCTTCGTCATCAGAATCTGATTATAAACAAACAGCGTTTTTATATGATAAAAATTATCAGAAAAGGAGAATTCACTATATTTTTAAGTACCTCTTCCAATATTTATTTCTACATTTCGAATATCGTCAATGAATGTTTCATCGCTGTCAACGCTATTTTCTGATTCAAGATCGAATTCGTCGGGATCACGATCTGACGCAGTGACAAATGACGAGTTTGAGACGCTAATTCCAGTTAAGATAGAGGCACTATTTATTAACGATTCACATTAATAAAAAATATTAAGGTTAATATTTTTCTTGCTAAATTAATTCGAGATTTTTTTTTATGCAAACACATACTTATCATCATCGACATGCCACCACCCATCATCATTTTCTTGCTCTTCATCAAAATCCTCATTTCTCCCTAATAATTCATAACTTTTTCCAAGCACCCGCATGTTTTCCCTATCATGAAATACAGCAGCACCATTATTATTGTTTATTATCGAAGAATGGGTGCTTTCAGTATCCCATAAAGGGCTGGCATCAATATTGCCTATACAAAAATAATTTTATGAGATTGAAAATATATTCATAGTTAGGAAATGTTTATGTAATTGTATCGTACCATGCACAGGGGTCGGCATTGGTGGCACGTAGAGCGTACCGAGGTGATGAGCATTCGAGTGGACAGAAGCTTTGGTTACAATAAATAACAAAAGGGGAATAAATAATTTTATTTTCTTATAAAAAATCAAGATTCATTAATATTTCTGACTAACACATACCACCTTCCCCATTTCCCGTCGATCCGCCATACAAAAACGGAACGCGTAAAGTCTCTTGATCTTGCTCTTTAAGAAACGATTGTTGTTCCTGAACACGTTTTTGCCACCCAGAAGTAGTACGATAGAGCGTAACATCAAAAGCACACTCAAAACTCGCGACCTCAACCCACGGATAATCTTCTATGTCCTTATTGCCATTGATATTGTTGTTGGTGTTTGTGTTGATATTATTGTAATCCATCATCGATGCATGATTTGTCGAAGCGGTGGTAGATAATGCCAAACTCCTAATCACTAGATCAGGCATATTGAATACAACTTTTTGCGTGAATTTTTCATTGGAGAGGTCGTCGAATTGGACGTGAAGACCTTCTTTGAGAAGAAATTGCGTGCCGCTTTTTTTGTAATTTTATTTTATGAATTAATGAGGAAAGTAAAAATGAATACTATTGCGTTTCATTGTTATTATGCTCATACCTATCTTGTCCCCATACCGAGATATCAATCTCTTTAACACCAACATTCAAAAAAGTGACATCTGGATCAAGCTTCATCAAATATTGCGTCGGAAAGGCATTCTCCTCATCAACGAGGTGGTACGCAAAAGATTTTCCAAATGAAATTACACTTAGAAGAAACGACGGCTTTAACTGTCCGGAAATCGTACCGATATTAATATCCCAATTGCACACGTAGGTGGCCAGTACCGGCAATGGACCGAATAGACGATGTGCGTAAATGTTGAGTTCTGAAATCAATTATTCAGTTCTTTTGATTAAAATAAAAATCAACTTTTCAGATAAAAGAGTATTCACGATAAGTGAATAATGGGAGACACACACACCCACCCACCATCAATAAATAAATAACTTTCTCTTAGTGGTTTGGATTTCATGGTGTTTCTTCGTATGCTAGGGTCAGAACTGAGTGTCCACGTTAATGGACTAAGGGTGAGATCCATATCTAAAAATAAATACAAGGTTAACGAATAATATATTGAAAAAAAGTGAAGAAAAGAAACCATAATTTTTACCCATATAAGGATCCGTATTTCGTAAATCAAGCTGCAGCTCGTGAAACTGAATCGTCGACACATTATCGCTAGTGTATAGATTCTCGGGCAGACATATTGTTCCGTCCTCGACGAAAAGTTGAATGTATACTTCAAATGGATCAGCCGGGGGCTATGTGAGATAAATGAAAATGATTATCTTGCGATGTGCTATACACAAGTAAAATTTATTAAAGCCGAATTATGTATAAATCACACAATCACCTTTGCAGCCAACCTTCGTTGATCTAATTCCAGTTGTGTATTTTTGCCATTTCCATCTCGCCGCAGCCGGTACTCTTCTAACGTCGTAAAATTTACAAAATTTCCAAAGTAGTTTTCTTGGAGTTTAAGAACGTAACGAACAACAAATCCAAAAAGCTTCAGATTGGCTTTCTTCAACTATTTGAAGATATATGAGAGATAATTATTTTTGACAATTTGAAGACAAAAGTCATATAAAGAATATAAGAATTATGATACATACAAACATCTTCATCGAAAGCGATTCGATATGATTCGGTTCAACGAAACTGTAGTACTGGTAATTTCCTTCGATATTGAAGTTATCCAAATTCAGAAAAACCTTGCCATCTTCCGCAAGAAATGCACCAAGCGACTGAGACGTTGGTGGAGACATTGAAACTAAACCCGGAACAATCTAGTTAAAAATTAAAAAATCAAAATTTATTCGCTTTTATCTTAAAATAAGATTCAATAAACAGTAAAATAATTTATTACCTTAACATTGAATGGGATCTTTGTTATTTCTTGTTCAAATTTCAGAAAAGGTAATACTACTGTAGATGTTAGCTGCTTACTACTAATAATGAAAAAGGCTGTACAAACCCAATAATAAAGAATAATCAATTAAATAAAGAATAATCAATTAAACAAAGATTATTTATAACAAAAAATCTTGATTACTAAATATGATACACACCATTGTCATCAATATCTGCTGGATCCTCTATGATATTATGTTCATTCACACAGAGGTACAACTCGATATCCTTCGATTCGATCTCAATGATATATTCCATTGGAATAAAATGTAAGAGATCCACCGATGGACCGGAAGTCCAATCTTTTGCTAAGTCTTGAAATAAAGTGATGTGATCACGTAGCAAAAATATTTTTGGTTTATCAAGATCAATGTTGAATATCCATTGACGAGCCTGGTTCCATATCAATGGATTTTGAAGATCACATTTTATCTAAAGCAATAAATATATTTTTCAATACACAATTCTGAAGCAGAAGAAAATTTAATAACTAACTATTCTTGATTAATTACCTTACAATTCTCAGCTGTAAGCAAATTAGCATAGTTGACACTCGTTTGCACCGTGATTTTATTGAATCGAATATCCACCTTATTCGTGTATCCGTTCTCATCAAGAATCATTGGCAACGATAATTTTATCATCGAAGACTTTCCAACAGTAACCTCTAGCCAGCCCGCTTCTCTGCTATTATCGGCAGGCTGAGCGTCATCTTCATTATCATCGTCTTTTGCAAAACTCCAGTCCTGAGACGTCGAATTAACGTGTCAATGATATTTTTACGAAAAAAAAAAAATAACTAGTTAATTAAATTAACCTTGGAGGTTTCTCTCGTCGGAATCCTTAATATTGTATCTGTATCAAATTGAATGAGTAATTTAAGCATTGTATGCAATCGATCTTGTCCATATTCAAGTGGTTTTGTTTTTATAGATGATCGATATAAAGGTGGAAAGAAAAAATTCTGCAGTAAAACCCTAAAAATCAAAAAATTAACGCATAAAATTAGGATTGATACTATATGTAATAAATAGACGTCATTAAATAGACTGCATACCTCTGTCGATCAGCCCAAGGACCATACCGTACTGTTCCACCACTAACGAAGAGATCGACACCCCATTCGGGTGACAAATCTCCATTCCCAATTTCCAACTCTTCTGTGATGTCAATTGGCATTGATACCCGAGGAACTTTGCCTTAAAAAAACCGATATCATATACGAATTTAGTATTCTTTGAGAAAATGTATATGCGCATAGACATACCTGCTACATCTGCATAATAATTCATATCCAGCTCCACACAATCCAGTATAATAGGATCCTTAGCGTATTCGTCAGCCGCATCTGGTATCGGAACTGTTGGAGGGTTATCTGTTCGATATGTGTGATCAAATTGTCAAGGATTTTATAAATAAAAATTTTTCATAATTCAATAATAACTAATTAAATCAAAAGGATATCTAGGAAGTCCATGCCATTCCGTCATATCGTCTTTTCTTCCACCAGAAAGAAAAGGCAAATATTTAGTAAGCTTGAAGAAAAACCTGCTTCTTGTTCTCCCTGCTCTATTAAAAAGATTTGGTATGAGCTATGTGCTATTAGAGTATTTCTCCCCCCCAAAAAAAGAAAGATAATATGCCTGGATGTTTCTGTGGCTAGACTTAGTCGAGCTGCTCTAGTTAAGAGTGGCTCTTGATAATCGAGATTCGTTTTGAGATGAATTTTTGGGTTACGAAATTTTATCCTGAAAACAGATTTATAAAGATCAAGTCTTGAGCGAGACTATCTTTGCGCAAAAAGAATGAGAATCAATTACAGTTTAATCAAAAAGAGAATGAAACAAAAGAAAAATTTTCTTCATACCCTCACAGCAGCATATATTCCGCTTGCCTGAACAAATTCAGCTACCAGAATTGATGGCACATTTTCATTACCGGCAATTATTGCTCCATGTTCACAATCAATCTGTATCGGCAATATACGTTGCAACAAAGAATTCTGATAATTCATGGCATCGTCTTCCTCATTTGTACTTAGTTCCGCTTTCAAAAATATTTTGTCAAATATCGATAATGACACAAAATAATGATTCCAAATAATAATAATAATATTTACCTGTCGCTTCTTCTCTGTCATGCTCAATTACGCTTGAGACGCTTGGAGCATCAGAAGGAGGATCAGTCTGTTGTTGTGCATTAAGCAAGTCCTTTAGCGCATCATATGCAGGCGTTCTATTGTATACAAAATATTCAACACCATCCAATTGGCATACAATCCGACATGGTAACTGTTTTCCTTTAAGACGCAAATTCAGTCAATAATCAATCACGAAATACAAGATACGGACAAAAATTTCGTAGTGGATCTTATGTACCATAATTATTATTATTATTATTATTATTATTATTATTATTATTATTATTATTATTATTATTATTATTGTTATTGTTATTATTGTTATTATTATCTTGATTGGTTTGATGATAATCTTTTCGGACATTCCATAACCAATATCGACAGGTTATGTGTCCTTTAAGTATAAATATTGATTGATTCCTAGAGCGGTATTTCAGATTTTTGAATAGAACACGACCAGCAAGAGGAGCAAATTGCAGAGATTCTGAAACAAGCAACAGTTTTGATTTAGAATTGTTGAAGAAAATGTAATATAATATAATATTTTATTATTATTTTTTAGTATTTTCAATACATCATTTGAAAAATCAATTTTTCTATCTATCATAACCTCAACCCTCTTTAACCTTAAACTTCTTGAATAAATCAGTACAAAATAACTCGTACCGATTTCAATGAATGCATGTAACTTTCGCCACGAGTATAAGCGTATTATTCGAGATAATACAAATCCCAAAACGCGATTATAATAAAACAAGAAAAATAAAACCAAGATAACAACTGCACAGCACTTAAAGTAAAAAAGCCTGTCGAGGAAAGAAAAGAAATGGTCAGGTTAGGAAAATCAAAAAGGCCTCTTTGCATGAACAAAAAAAAATCTCTGAACAAGTTTACTTTAGATCTTCATCTTGCTCCATCGCTTTTACACCGGTTGTCAAAGTTATCTCGTTGTATGCACTAAATAAAATAAACAGCAATCACCTCATTTATATACAACTGCATATAAAAAGATCACATGCATCCAGGGTAATTGGATGGTGTCGTATTTGGTTGGTAGGATGGTTAGAAGTTCTGATCATGTGCACTGTGCCATAAGCTGATTGATTCCTACGCGTCTTCAGTATTGTCGCCAGTTAGATATTCCATTTTAATCTCACACTTGACAGTTTTGAGATAAAAGCTTTTTCATTCATAACGATCCTTTTATCAATCCTTTACTTTGAAATTTTTGCGTTCTATTGCTTTTGAACGTTTTCCTCAACATATTATAAATTTTTTTGTGAGAGTTTAAAGCATACTACGAAATAGAGCACTCAACACTGAACACAAAGAGCTTTTTTGCACACTTGAACTGCGCCATATTGAGATTCGTTAATACGCGCTTGAATTGTGCATTTTTCGAGCCCTCATCTAAAAATACGTAAGAAAATCGTTCAAATGATGGACAATCAACACGCCGAAAACTTGGAGAATACCAAAAAAAATACGCTTGTACTCCCAACAAAAATTAAGGTATTTTCCCGACTAATATTTTACGTTGCTTTTATTTTTCCGCGTTTTTTCGCGTTCAGCTGTCTAACCCCGTCTGAAATGTGGATCTAACTCGTGCAGCATAACCGAGAAAAGATTATCGTTAACACGAAAAAAAACGTTGTTCCGTTACAAAAGACTGATGCTCGTCTGGATGACGTGAAACAGTCAGTTGCCCAAGACACAACTGATTGGAAAAAGGTATGTTATTTCCAACGTTGTCGTGAGACGGAATTTTGAGAATTGCAAGTGTTAAGGCATGATCGTGGGCTGTGGAAAATATAACTGGGGGGGGGGGGCGTAGTCATAATGATTAATCAGATTTTTTTTTAATCAAAATCAAAATTTTAACGTGTCTCATTCGGCATATTTTATCCTGTATGCATAGGTTGCAAAAAATTTAAAGGCTCGTCTTGCGTTTGCTAGCTTTAAAGTGCGACATAATTGGCAATATTATAATATGTCTACCTGTGAAAAGATAACCCAAGGAAAACCGCATTCACCAAGCCAACTTGGCGAATCTTTCACCCCGATTTTGCTTAATGATTCGAGTCTTGAACAAATAATAGATCTGACGAATGATCCGAACGATAAAGATTCGAAGAAACCTAAAAAAAGAAGACATAGTGATGACTTCACATCGAATATAAAGAAAGCAAAACATCAATATATCCTACCAACTATGAAATCATTAGAAAAATCAATTTGCGAGGATTCATTGGCACCAGAACTTGTGAATGACCAATCAAACACTACTACGACAACTAATACGAGAACAAATAGCACAACAGCGGCGGAATTAAACCAATTTCCAATTTTGGTTCCTACCGAAGAACAAACATTCTCGAATGGATGGGATCCAATGCTATCCGATAACTTTAGTCAACTTCAAGATCTGACAGGAATCGATGAACATGGAGCAGCATCATCTTTTCCCAGTACCCCGCCACAACAACCACCTAAAACTCCGACTGATGAACATGCCGCAGAATTATTATATTATTTCGCATCATCACCCGTTACTACATCTCCGGGTCGAACTCCTGCAAGCCGTTTCCCACTACCAGAAACTCATATGGGATTCACTACTCCACCACCTCGTACAAATATTGACACTTCAACGCCTGACTCGAGATTCTCATTAAGTGAATTTGTTAAATTAACTCCAACTCCAAAACCGCCATTTCCAGAAACTGACTTCTTAACACCGCCTAAACATTTGAAATTGACGCCTGGCATCGCTACTAATCCATTGAAAAATCACACCCCAACTTATATCAAATCAAAATTATCATCAACGTCATCATCTTCATCATCGTCTAAGGCAGCTCACCCTCCTCTAAGTGATCCACATAATAACACGTCAAACACACACTCATTAAACACGCCACCTGCAATCTCCCTATCGTTTGACGATTACGTAAGCGAAACTCCAAGAAAATCTAATAATAATACTACTCCATCAGGTCATTTAAATCTTTTCACCGAACTTTTGCAGATGAATTCCGCTGCAACAAAGCCAATCGCAACAAATTCTGCCTTTGCTCAAGGAGCAAAGTAAAAAAATAAAATAAAAAACGACAGAATTTAATTGCTCAAAGAAATAATAAATAAGCATTCGTTTACCTACCCTAAAAAGGTTGGGCTGCTATTTTCTGTGAATTAATTATCTTACGTTCTTCAGATACCATTTATTTGATGATGAAGAAAAAAGCAGAAGAATGAAAATACTCTGATAAAATATTAATTAGGGGATTTGTAGTTTGTCTTTCTTTCTACGTTATTATTTTTGTTTATAGTATAATAAAAATATTATAGTTTATATTTAATAGATAAGCAGAATAGCTGCTATTTTATAGACAGCGCACATAACATTCATTATTCTTATTGTTTATATATAATAATAATACTATGTTTTTATCAGCAGATGATTTCCTCTCCTTGTAAATGTACATTTGTGAATACGATTATTATTATTATTATTATGATTATTATTAAAATTCTTTTTATTTTATTATTCACGTTTTTTTCTTCCACGTAAAAGTTTTGCGACATCTCGGAGAAATTGTCGTTCTTGATAATAACTATTAATTACAATAAAAAATTCAGCATTCATATAAAGTTAAGACGAATTTTTAATTCAACGATTCTGTTGTTGTAAATTCAAGAAAAAATTGTTAAAAAAGGATACGTGATTATGATGACAAAAAGGCCACATAGACTTCCCACCCCAATATGTTTTATTTTCGCATCGAGCGTAGCCCAGCCATTAACTTGATCTGACCAAAAAGTTACAAACCACGCAACAATGAATGACAAACAAACAACGAAATTAGGCGTCATATTAGACAACGATAACAAATGATCTATTTCACTCTTAAGACGAGAAACATCAGCAGTAGTAACAAGATTAACGCTGCTCAAATAATAGTTACGAATAAAACGCCAACTCCATAAAATACGCATTAATAGATTAAAAGCGTTAGCCGCGACCAATCCAACAGCACCAGCCACAAGAATCCTCATGAACACGAATCCAGCTCCAATAAATCCTATAGAGAACATAATCATCCAATAGTTAAGCGAAGAAATTGTTTCTTTTGTTGCGACACCGGTCACGAAAGCCTCAGTTATGCCATTTATGCCCATTATTGGCACATAGAAACAATAGGATGAAAGTGCCATTGGTGCAGGTGTATCGGTTGACCATTTTTTCCCAACTAGGATATCTATAAGAACTCCGGTGTAATTAGAGCCAAGTGCGATGAATAAGAGACCCAACAGGATGTGAAATTTTATCAAGGTCGTGAGGATTTTGAGGGATGTGAGTAAATGATCCTTTTGAGTTTCGGTTTCTTCGGCTTCTATTGTCTTTTCATCAATATCACCTTGCTTTCTTTCAAGTGGTTGTATGCTAGATAATAATTTGGAGAATAATGTACGGCCAGTTTCCTCAAGTGGTTGAAATAGAATTCGTACAATCAAGGAACCTGACAAAAGAATAGAGAAAGTAACCAAAACTAAGCAATACACTTTTGACGGAAAAACCAAAAAGAAAACGCAGCTCACGCACCATAATTCGCAACAAATGCGTAAACACCCTGATCACTCGGTGTACTCAGCCAAGTTATTAGCATTTTATCACCCTCTGTCAATATATGCTTAAGAAATGATTGCCACGTAAAGACAAAGGCAAGATGTGAGAGATCATGATCAAACCAGACTTTTTGTGGTCTATTTTATTTAAATTAATAATATGAAATTTCTCTTTTCTTATTATCAAGGTAATGTCAAAAAGTATGTTTATTACCTGTCATTTTGAATCACAATCACCGGTCGGGGCCACAACTCTCTCCAATTCCAATTCCAGTAAAAATATCCAATATAACCACAAAAAAGAATCAAAGCATATGCAAACTGTGCAACTGCAAATATCAAAATACCATACATATTTTCCGCATTATCCTCTTGTTTCTGTGCTCCCAAAATCGTCAACGTAAACGTGATGACACAACGCACGACAACAGCAACACCCTCGCTTCGAACACGTAACGTGAACATTAAATTATTGGTCGCGGTAATAAACAACGGTTCAATAATCAATTCTAGGAACGCAGACACTCCATAAAGTATGACTGATTCCACATAATAAGGAGAATTAAATGTCTCCTCGGAGGCAGTGTGAATGCAAAACAGACATGCAAGAAATGTTGTAAATATGCCAAATGGTATAGGAATAAATGACAAATTTGTAATCTTTTGGGCTTTTCCCTTTGGTGAATTTGCTAATGGTAGATTTTCGACTTGTTTTAGGATTTCATTTTCAGTTTCTTGTAATTTTTCTTGCTTCTGCACATTTTCGATGCCACTACCTCTGAGCAGTGCACATCGAAACCCTTCTCTCGATAAGAATAGAATTGTGAGCAAAAGTAACTCGAGTTGCACCGCTGCAATACCAAATGTTTTCGGGTTCGTAAACCGTAAAACGATTTGATGCAAAATGAAGGTGAGAAGCCTGCTTAAAAGTTGGAGCAGAATTAAATAAGACGCGCCTTTGACGGAAGTAGAAAGAATATTTTGAAGTTGAGAAGTTGCATTTTGTTTGTCAACTTCATTAATGTTATCTTTCGTGATATTTTCTCGAATTTCGGGGTACTTTCTTTGCCTTGTCTCAGACATTGAATGGAGAGATGTTCTTTTTAATGAACATCTACCCCTACGTATTAATTTGGTAAAATCAGTTTTCTTAACGTTAGCGTCAAAATCGAAAAAATATTTTCCCAATATTAAAAAAAATTTGGTCGATTCGGATTCGAATTTAAATCCAAGCTAGGATTTTACAGTTGAATCAAACGATTACATTGCCCAATCATAAATCCGATTTCCATCTCTACTATGGGTAACGCGTCTTCGTTAGAGAACATTACAACGACAAGTGAAAACACAGAGAAAAAACCTGAAAAAGAACAAACTAATGAAAAAACTGAAAAAAAACCTGAAAAAGAACGAGAACAAACTAGTGAAAAAACTGAAAAAAAACCTGAAAAAGAACAAGAACAATCAAATGAAACTTTGGACCAAGAAAAAACAAGTGCTGGCGGACCCATTGATCCTGATACCGGTGAAATAGACTGGGATTGCCCTTGTCTTGGAGGTATGGCTAATGGTCCATGCGGTGAACAGTTCAAAGCCGCATTCTCTTGTTTTGTTTATTCAACTGCTGAGCCAAAAGGATCCGACTGTTTGGAAGCATTTAAAGAAATGCAATCTTGTTTTCGAGCTTATCCGGAATTCTATGGAGAAGGTATGAACGCTTCGATATAGTGTGTAAGTAAATTTTTCATTCGTGTTATTGTAATATCTTTTTTTGTCTATGAATAGAGTTGGAAGAAGACGATGATGATGATGATAATGATGATGATGATGATGATGCTGCTGCTGCTGCTGCTGCTGCTACTCAAGCTGAAGCTGATAAAGAACAGCGAATTAATGATTAGTTCAAGATTGGTTTATTTTACTGTTGCATGCATTAATAGGTTTAATAAGTTGAAAGGTTGCAACCTTTTGATTTAAAAATCGTAATTTTTGCCATAATTGGTATAATATTCGTAATTGTTGTAAAGTTCGTAATTGATGTAAAAAGTTCACAATTATTATTTGTACAAAATAATGAAATCCGTAATAATGAGTAATTTCACGTACAACCTCTTTGGGGCTCACTATCTCGAGATCCGATGAAGAAGTGTAAGGCCCACCAGTTGATTCACCAAAACCTAATGGATCGAATAACCAGCTTTATACTCGCTTTCGAAATAACCTAACCATGGCGAAAAAAGTTACGAATCATGTGATTTCAAGGGGTAAATCAACGATCAACGGAAAAGATTAAACGTCTATTTTTTTATTAACACTTAATCTAACCCGGTCAGTGAATATGTTATGAGCTACTGTATATCCACAAAACCAATTTTCTTATGAAATTAAAGGAAATAATATTATTCTCTTCATAATGAAGTTATAATTACCAAGAAAAAAAGAGTGAAATTTTTTAGGTAAGCTATTTTTCTAAAGTTATAAAATATTATTTGAAAATAATTGACAATTTAGAGTCTTGAGTTTTAGTTCATCTTAACTTAAAAATAATCAAATGGACATTAAATATAAATATATATATATATATATATATATATATATATATTATGTATAGTGATTAATTATAATAATTTTAAATACAGGTATATATAAAACTTTATATAATTACGACACAAAAAAACTTTGCACAATTACGACTTAAAAGAATCTTCGCACAGTCACAACCTTAAATATTATTATATAAAATTCATACAATTACTATTTAAATATAATTATATATAAAAATAAAAACTATAACTTATTTATATTATTTAAGATTTATTATAAATTAGTAGTTAATATTTTATCTTATAAATACTAATTCATGTTTATTTATACAGATAATAAAGATATTTAATAATAAATCATTTTATTGAAGAAAACAAGAATCTTTCAAGATTTTTGAAAGAAGAAAGTGAAATATATAAAGATTCAGATAATGAATACATTCTTTTAGATAATAGTCATTCTGTTATATAATTAGCAATTTATTTGAAAATAATAATTTTATCTTTACAAAAATAATAATCAACTTTATATTAATAATAAGAATAATTTGAATAAAGTTAATATTAATTGACTTGATTCAGAAATAAATTTTATTTCAGAAGCTGAATTTATTAATAATTAATTAAAAAATAAACAAGAATTGAATATAAAGATTAATAATTATAACAAAATTAATAAGTTTTTATAATAATATACTATTTTAAATTTTAAAAAGAAAAAATATATTATATAAATTCAAGATTTTGATTATTATCAAACTATTAATTCAATTTTTTAAGCAAAATCAAGCAGAAATATTAAAAATACTTTATGTATATTCTTTATATTTTAATTTCAATCAAAATAACTTATATAAATATAATATAAAACAAGAATTTTTAATTAAATAATTATTAATTTATAGATAATATTATTTTTTTATCATATTAATAAATATTTCTTTAATAAAAATAAAAGATATATATTTATGAATAGTATTAGAATAAAATATATATTTATTATATAGATTTAATAGCAAATATAATTATAAGTTAGTGCAAAAAGATTTATATCTCAATATAATATTACAAACTATATTCAAGAAAATAGATTTTATCAAGAATATAGTTTATAATAAGTTTTGAGGGTGAAGACTAAATTATTTATAAAGGTTAAGAAAATAATGATTATTCTAAAGATTTCCTAATACTAATATTTATGAGT